GATTCTCCTGTCTCAGCCTCCTGAGTAGCTGGGATCATAGGCCTGTGCCACCATACCTGGCTAATTTTTATATTTTTAGTAGCGATGGGGTTTCACTATGTTGGTCAAGATGTTCTCCGTCTTCTGACTTCGTGATCTGCCCGCCTTGGCCTCCCAGAGTGCTCGATTACAGACACGAGCCACCGCACCCGACCTATTTTTCCTGTTTTAAAAGTTGGTTAATACTTTTGTGTTTATTTTAGAGTTTATATCAGAACAATTTACAGTAATATACACCCCTACTAGAGCTTGTCATATAGTCAAAGACAAAGTAGTTAATACAAATAGTAGGTATGCCTTTGGAGTTATTGATAATTTTAAAATATTATGCAAACCATGAGAATTTCTCACTTCTAGTGGAAATACATTAAATATAGACCATGAGTGAACAAGGTTTTGTCCTCAAAGGTTTTTTGTTTCTGTGTGTGTGTGTGTGTGTGTGTGTGTCTGTGTTTTGTGGAGACAGGGTTTCACCATGTGGGCCAGGCTGGTCTTGAACTCCTGACCTCAGGTGATGCACCCGACTTGGCCTCCCCAAGTGCTGGGGTTACAGGCGTGAGCCACTTCGCCTGGCCTTGAAGGAATGAATTCTTGACTTCCACTCTATCCCTAACACTGTCAATTTCTTGATTCGTGAAATGAATATGGATATGTGATAAGAATGGATAGCTGGTTCAATCCGTTAATCTTCCAGAGCCAAAAACCCAATCAGGATTAACTGGGTGGAACTTCAGAAATGCAATCAGATATCACTTTTTGATTGGAAGTTAGCAGTGGATAAGTGGAGAGGCGTGGGTGGGAGTTGTGATTAGAAAGGTCAATAAAAGCTTCTAAAGACCCAGAGGAGAAACCCAAAGTCTTCAAGCCTGGAGTTACTGCTTGGTTCTTCCTGAGGTCTGAGCACCTTCTAAACTACATCCAGATCTGGTAAGTTCCTAACTTCTGTAAGGACACTCCCATCTGACCTACAGTCAGCCGGTCTGGGATGGTGACAGTGCAGCCTGTGATGGCACAGAGCTATCTATACCCTGTCTCTTTTCTTTTTTTCATATGAACGGTTTGAAGCTTTGATATTTTTTCCTCTAAATGCAATTTTGTCTTTATTTCAAAAACTGTGATTGTGCCTTTTTTATGTCGTTTCAGAATTCTTGTTGGGGGCCGTTTTGTGAAGAGACGAAGACTGAGCGGTTGTGGCCGCATTTCCGACGTCGAGCCGCAGTTGGCTTCTCCACGTAGAACCCGGGAGGAGGAGACTTGGAATCGAATCTCTTCTCCCTCTTGCCTCCCGTTTTGGCTTTTTGAGAAACCTTCTCATCAACCACAATGGCCAGCAACGTTACCAACAAGACAGATCCTCACTCCGTGAACTCCCGTGTGTTCATTGGGAATCTCAACACTCTCGTCGTCAAGAAATCTGATGTGGAGGCCATCTTTTCCAAGTATGGCAGAGTCGCGGGCTGCTCCGTTCATAAGGGCTTTGCCTTCGTTCAATACGCTAAGGAGAAAAACGCCCGCGCCGCTGTGGCGGGAGAGGACGGCAGAATGGTCGCCGGCCAGGTTGTGGACATTAACCTGGCTGCGGAGCCAAAAGCGAACCAGCGAAAAGCAGGCGGGAAACGATCAGCAGCGGAGATGTCCGGCTCCTCTTTTGACTCGGACTATGACTTCCAACGGGATTATTACGGTCGGATGTACAGTTTCCCAGCACGGATCCCTCCTCCTCCTCCTGTTGCTCTGGCTGGAGGGCCCTCGAAACGTCCGCGCCTATCAGGAAGCACCTCAGGAAGGCGCACAAGTGGCTTCAGTTCCAAGAGTGGCCAGAGGGGATCTCACAAGTCTGGAAAGTTGAAAGGAGATGACCTTCAGGCCATCAAGCAGGAGTTGACCCAGATAAAAGAGAAAGTGGCTTCTCTCCTGCAAAACCTGGAAAACATTGAAAAGGAACAGAGCAAAGAAGGAGTAGAGGTGAAGAACGCTACCTCAGAAGAGGAGCAGAGCAGCAGCTCGGTGAAGAAAGGGGAGGCTCACGTGAAGCTGGAGTCTGAGGGGGGCGCAGATGGCTCTGCTGACGAGCGGCCCCTACTGGGCGATGCTGATAATGAAGATCGGGCGGATGAGCAGCTGGAGTTGATCAAGGATGATGAAAAAGAGGCTGAGGAAGGAGAGGATAAGAGAGACGGCGCCAATGGCCAGGATGACTCTGAAGCACATAGTGGGATTTAGAAATCTTATCCCATTATTTGTTTACCTGTATCTTCAGCACATGCTTACTGTTCTCCTCATCCTTGTCCTTCCCATATTCATTAATTCATTTTTTTTGCCCTGCACGTAGTCCCATTTTCACTTCCCTTGATGCTCCTAGTAGTTTTCTTAAGTCTTACCCTGCAATATTTTCTTGTAATTTAGATGCCTCTTTGTAACTTAACAGTAAAAAGGATGTATGGTTATCAACTGTCTCCAAAATAATCTCTCTTTTTTGTAGGGAATACAATTCTTTTCATTCATACGTAAGTTCAGTAGTTGCTTCCCTAACTGCAAAGGCAATCTCATGGAGTTGAGCAGCTCCTGAAAGCAGCTTGGAGTTAGAATTATGTGTGTTACACCCCCACGTTAGTGTGCTGTGTGGGGCACTTCAACAAAAATCTAACGATATATTTTTGTGAATGAGACTTGTCAAATGCATCCTCAGGAAAATAATTAGTGTTATAATCTTAAAACTTGTTTTCTAAAGTTGATACTGTGGGTTATTTTTGTGAACACCTTGATGTTTGGGACCTTTTTTCCTCAAAATAAACAAGTCCTTATTCAACCAGGAATTTAAAGAAAGAAAATTCTTGGTGGGAGCAGTGACTCCTGCCTGTAACTCCAACACTTTGGGAGGCCAAGGCGGGAGGATCATTTCAGCCCAGGGGTTCGAGACCAACCTGGACAACATGGCAAAACCCTATCTCTACAAAACATTTGGCCCCTGCCCTGGAAGGGGAGGCCCGCAGTGCGCATGAGCAGGAGCCTCAGGGCATCGCCAGCCCGTGCCTGTCCTCACGGTGGGCAGCGGCCCTTGCTGAATTAAACTAGCTCTCACCAGTAAAGATGTCATATTCCCTTTTATCTAACTATGAAACTCATAGAGGCATATAACACTTGTAAAATATTTCTTTTCTTTTTTTTTTTTTTAGTGGAGTTTCAGCTGGGATTATAGGCGCACACCACCATGCCTGGCTAATGCTTTATTTTTAGCAGAGACGTGGTTTCACCATGCTGGCCCCAGGCCGGTCTTGAACTCCTGACTTCAGGTGATCCTCCTGCCTCGGCCTCCCAAAGTGCTAAGGTTATAGGCATGAGCCACCACGCTGGGCCCATTCTATGGGTTTTGACAAATGGATAATGACGTTTCCATCATTATAGCATCATGCAGAGTAGTTTCACTTCCTAGAAAGCCTCTCAGCTCTGCCTATTCATCCCACTGTACCCCAATCCCTGGCAGCCACTGGGCTTTCTGCTGTGCCTGCAGTCTTGCCTTTTCCAGATTGTCTCACAGGATGTCATCTTTTCACATTGACTTCGTTTAGCTTGTACCATAACATGCATTTAGGGATCCTCCATGTCACTTCAGGGCTTAATAATCTATTGATTGGATGAGTCACTATTTTTATCCATTCACTATTGAAGAGCATCTTGGTTGCTTCCAAGTTTTGGCAATTACGAATAAAGCTGGTACAAACATCTGTGGGCAGGTTTACTCATTTAGGTAAATATCGGCTATGATGATTACTGGATAGTGCACTATGGGTATTTTACAATTTTTTTCCTGGACAATCTCATCTGCTAGACAGACACTGCCTCTTAAAGGTTAGGGACTAGGCTGGGAGCAGTGACCCACACCTGTAATCACAGCACTTTGGGAGAGCAAGGCAGGTGAATCACCTGAGGTCAGGAGTTCGAGACCAGCATGGCCAACATGTTGAAACCCCGTTTCTTTTTTTCTTTCTCTTTTCTTTTTTTTATTTTTTAGACAGAGTCTTGCTCTCACCCAGGCTGGAGTGCAGTGGTGTGATCTTAGCTCACTGCAACCTCTGCCTCCCGGATTCAAGTGATTCTTCTGCCTCAGCCTCCTGAGTAGCTGAGATTACAGGCACGTACCACCACATCCGGCTAATTTTTGTGTTTTTAGTAGAGATGGGGTTTCACTATCTTGACCAGGCTGGTCTGAAACTCCTGACCTCGTGACCATCCACCTTGGTCTCCCAAAGTACTGGGATTACAGGTGTGAGAAACCACGATTGGCCTGGCGAAACCTCGTTTCTACTAAAAATACAAAAATTAGCCAGATACGGTGGTATGTTCCTGTAATCCCTGCTTCTCGGGAGGCTGAGGCAGGAGAATCACTTGAACCTGGGAGGTGGAGGTTGCAGTGAGCCAAGATCGTGCCATCCAGCCTGGGCGACAAAAGCAAAACTCCAACTCAAAAAAGAAATAAAAGGATAGGGACTCTGTCTCTGTCACCCTGTGGTCCTACAGGTGAGCATGGCGCCTGACGTGTGCTAGCAAATGCTGTTGACCACATGGCGCATAGAACACTATCAGTTCACAGCCACTAATTTGTCAATTTGGGGAGGTCAACATTAGCGGGCTACCAATTATGTAAATAAGTTGGATATGAAAGACATAGCCGTGGTGGTGCTGTGGTCACTCCCTGTGTATTGTGAAGTCCAGTAATCAGAAGAAGTACATGCGGGCAACTTCATTTGTTTCTCGTACATCCCCCACCCCTGCAATTAATACAGACAGGATTCTCAACGTAAGACAATCCAATAATACAGACAACAAATGTCTCCTCTGAACTTTCCCTCCATCCCTACCCCCTCTCCAGATAGTTCAGTTTAGTGTGACTTCCTAAACATCCTTATGTGTGCATAGAGATGTCTGGGTTTTTTAGTATCTTGGTTTTTTTTGGGTGTTTTGGGTTTTTTTTGAGACAGAGTTTCCCTCTTGTTGCCCTGGCTGGAGCGCAATGGTGAGATCTCGGCTCACTGCAGCCTCCACCTCCAGGGTTCAAGCTATTCTCCTGCCTCAGCCTCCAGAGCACCTGGGATTATAGGCGTGCGCCACTACTCCCAGCTAATGTCATATTTTTAGTAGAGCCACTGGGCCCGGCCGGACAATGTCTGGTTTTATCTTTCCTTATAGAAATAGTGTTTTACTGTGGTATTGATCATCTCACTTTTTTCCACTTAAGTGTAAATCTTGAAGATTTGTCCTCATTCTAATTAGCTGGCATAGAGTAGTTTATAAAACGAATGGTGCACGGTTTAACCTTTGCCTGTTGATGTACATTTATTTTACTATTACAGACCATATGGTACTAAAATTCCTTGTCCACACTAAAGCTTCTCTTTGGCTTCTCAAAGCTTTCCCTCTATTTATCCCATCTCTTCTGGATCAATTTTCTTGTCTCTGATAAATCATTGTCATCAGCTTATGACCAGGCTCTTCACAATCTTTCATTTTGAAAATGAAGCAAAAGGAAAAGAAAGAAAAACTGTGCTTGCTGCCACAGGAGTCTCTAGCTAGCATTCATTTCTTCCCATTTCTAGCAGAATTTCTCTAACGTGTTCTGGGCTGGGCACAGTGACTCACCCCTGTAATACTAGTACTTTGGGAGGCCAAGGCAGGCACACTGCTTGAGCTCAGGAGTTTAAGACCAGCCTGGGTAACATGGTGAAACCCGGTCTCTACAAAAAGTTCGCCAGGTGTGGTGGTGCACATCTGTAGTCCCAGCTACTTAGGGAGCTGAGACTGGAGGGTGGCTTGAGCCCAGGAGGTCAAGGCTGTAGTGAGGCGAGATAGTGCCACTGCACTCCAGTCTGGGTGACAAACTGAGACCCTGTCAAAAAAAAAAAAAAAAAAAGAATTCTGCACATTCCAATCACGATATCTTAGTCTGTCATATATTCTCAGTATAATTTTCATTATATTCCAAATACACAGAAAAGTCTACTGAGTAATACATAAAACACAAAGTTACTCACACCCAGCTTTATTGTTAACGTTTTGCCATATTTGCTGCAGATTTCCCCAGAAGAATCACCTTCCAGATGAGTCTTCCTGGGTGACCCTCCCTTATTGCCGGAGTCTTGTCTCTTACTTTCCGCCCAGACAAAACCACTTTCTTGAATGTGTTATCTATTGGCTGAGCGCAGTGGCTCCTGCTTGTAATCCCAGCACTTTGGGAGGCCGAGGCTAGAGGATCACTTGAAGTCAGGAGTTTGAGACCCGCCCGCCCAATGTGGTGGAACCACATCTCTACTAAAAATGCAAAAATCAAATTACATGCCTGTAATCCCAGCTACTCGGGAGACTGAGACGGGAGAATCGCTTGAATCCAGGAGGCAGAGGTTGCAATGAGCCGAGATCCCGCCTCTGCACACCAGCCTAGGCAACCGAGTGAGACTCTGTCTCAAAAAAATAAATAAATAAATTCTAATCAGAGACCTCACTCACTCAAGTCTCTAGGCTCAGATAATTTCCATGTGATTTTTTTCCAAACTGTCAGTTTTTTGTTTGTTTGTTTTTGTGTTTGTTTTGAGATGGAGTCTTGCTCTGTCACCCACGTTAGAGTGCAATTGCACAATCTCTGCTCACTGCAATCTCGGCCTCCCAGACTCAAGCGATTCTCCTGCCTCAGCCTCTCAAGTAGCTGGGATTACAGGCACCCACCACCACACCTGGCTAATTTTTCCATTTTTAGTAGAAATAGGGTTTCACCATATTGGCCAGGCTGGTCTCAAACTCCTGACCTGAAGTGATCTGCCCGCCTCAGCCTCTCAAAGTCCTGGGATTACAGGTGTGAGACACTATGCCCAGTCGGTATTTTCTGTCTTACATAAGATGTTCCAGAAAGAAAGGCAAATATGGAAAGCTGTCTGATTCATTTCATGAGGAGCTGTAACCTATGTTTTAAAAGTGAATAAGGATGTTAGAAGGAAAGTAAATATAAAACTTGCTTGGCAAAAGTTTTCTATTTCTTTTTATTTTATTTATTTTTTATTTATTATTATTATTATTTTTTGAGACAGAGTCTCATTCTGTCACCCAGGCTGAAGTGCAGTGGCACGATCTCAGCTCACTGCAACCTTCACCTCCTGGGTTCAAGCGATTCTCCTGCCTCAGCCTCCCAAGTAGCTGGGATTACAGGCACCCACCATCATCCCCGGCAAATTTCTGTGTTTTTGAAGTGATGGAGTTTCACCATGTTGGCCTGGCTGGTCTTGAACACCTGACCTCAGGTGATCCACCCACTTGTCCTCCCAAAGTGATGGGATTACAGGCATGAGCTACCTCGCCCAGCCTTGAATGGATGAGCTCTTGACTTCCACCCTATCCCTAACACTGTCAATTTTATGATTCAAGAATTTAGTATGGATATCTGAGATGAATGGATATCTGACACATTCCATTCATCTGGGGAGAGCCAAAAACTTAATCAGGATTAACTAGGTGGAGCTTCAGGAACCCAATCAGATATCACTTGTTGATTGGAAGCTAGCAGCGGATACATGGAGGGGCGGGGGTAGGAGTTGTGATTAGAAAGGTCAATAAAAGCTTCTAAAGACACACAGGAGAGACCCAAAGTCTTCAAGCCTGGAGTTACTGCTTGGTTCCTCCTGAGGTCTGAGCAACCCGCAAAGTGACTCCAGATCTGGTAAGTTCCTAATTTCTGTAAGGACACTCCCATCTGACCTACAGTCAGCCCGTCTGGGATGGTGACAGTGCAGCCTGTGATGGCACAGAGTTGTATCCTGTTTTTTTTTTTTTTTCTCATATGAACAATTTGAAGATTTGAATTTTTTTCTCTAAATGCAGTTTTGTCTTTCTTTCAAAAAATTGGATTGTACTTTGGTTTATGTCATTTCATAACTGCTCATGGGAGCAGTGACTCATGCCTGTAACCCCAACACTTTGGGAGGGCAAGGTGGGAGGATCATTTGAGCCCAGGCGTTTGAGACAAACCTGGGCAACATGGCAGAAAAGCATCTCTACCACATATTCTTTTTTTGACGGGGGGATGGAGTCTCACTCTGTTGCCAAGGATGGAGTGCAGTGGCATGATCTCAACTCACTGCAACCTCCGCCTCCCAGGCTCAAGCAATTTTCATGCCTCAGCCTCCTAAGTAGCTGGTATTACATTCATCTGCCACCATGCCTGGCTAATTTTTGTATTTTTAGCAGCAGTGGGGTTTCACCATGCTGGCCAGGTTGCTCTTGAACTCCTGACCTCAAGTGATCCACCTGCCTTGGCCTCCCAAAGTGCTGGAATTACAGCCATGAGCCAATGCTGGTCGGCCTCAACAACAACAACAACAAAAAATTTAAGTTAGGGCATGGTGGCATGCATCTGTATTCCTAGTTATTTGGGTGACTGAGGTGGGAGAATCACTTGAGCCCAGAAGATTGAGGGTGCAGTGTGCCATGCTCACACCACTGCTGTACTCCAGCCTGGGCAACAGAGTAAGACCCTGTTAAAAAAAAAAAAAAAAGAAAGAAAAAAATCTTAACCAAAGAGTATCTTTCACCTTAATCTTAAACCAGTCACATCCTCATTGTAACTCTTTCACCTGGATGGAGACATGGGTGTGGGGGTGCATGCCTGTAATCCCAGCTACGTGGAAGGCTGAAGCATGAGAATCACTTGAACCTGGGAGGTGGAGGTTACAGTGAGCTGAGATGGTGTCACTGCATTCCAGCCTGGGCATCAGCTCCCCCAACTCCAAAGAAATTAAATTATACCACCCAGGTGATCATTCGATACATGAAGATTTCTACTGCATTTTCTTAGGGACTGTCATGTGTGTCTTTGTAAAACTGTTTCAACTCTGAAATATTTTGATAAATTTGATGTGGCCAAGGATCCCTCAACAAAGATACTTTCAAGTTTTTTTCTTTCTGTCTAATGTCAGGAAGAGATTCAACCCTTCCCTATCTCACACTCAGGACAATGAAGGACATATATTAGTAAAACTCCATGTTTGTGGAGTGAATCAGTGAATGAGTCCTGCACTTTCACCCTATCCTTAAATCTTTCACTTTGATGGATGAATGTCTAATTCAATCAGTTAACCTAAAAGAAAGCCAAAAATCCAATCAGAATTAACTGGGTGGGGCTTAAGAAGTCTAATCAAATCTAGTTCTCGCTCTCTTTTTTTATTTTTATTTTTTTATTTTTTGAATCTAGCCTATTTCTCAAACTGGAGTGCAGTGGTATAATGTCAGCTCACTGCAACTTCTGCCTCCTGGGTTCAAGCGATCCTCCTGCCTCAGCCTCCCTAGTAGCCTGGACTACAGGTGCACACCACTGCACCAGGTTAGTTTTTCTAATTTTAGTAGAGGTAGGGTTTTACCATGTTGGCCAGCTGGTCTCGAACTCCTGACCTGAGATGATCCACCATCCTCAGGCTCCCAAAGTGCTGGGATTACAGGTGTGAGTCACCGTGCACAGCCAAAGTGGTTTATTTTTATTATGTGTAAGAGGTGTGTATTGGAAACATCTGTCTTGTAAATGATGCATAACAATGTCACATAGATTTCAAAGCTTCTCACTGAAATTTTCAATAATGAGGCTGGGGTGGAGGCTCACACCTGTAATCCCAGCACTTTGGGAGGCCAAGGCGGGTGGATTGCTTCATTCTAGGAATTCAAGACCAGACTGGACAACACAGCAAAATGCACTGTCTTTACAAACAGTCAAAAATTAAAAGATTAGCTGGTCATGGTGATGCATGCCCGTGGTCCCAGGTACTTGGGAAGCTGAGGTGGAAGAATCCTCTGAGTCTGGGAGGTCAAAGCAGCACTGAGTGGAGATCCCAGCACTGAACTCCAGCCTGGGTGACAGAGCAAGTCGATGTCAGAACGAACGAAAGAAAGAGAAAGAGAGAGAGAGAAAGAAAGAAGGGAAGGAGGGATGGAGAGAAGGAAGGAAGGAAGGAAGGAAGGAGGGAAGGAAGGGAAGAAGGAAGAAGGGAGGGAGGGAAGGAAGGAAAGAGAGAGAGAAAGAAAGGAAGGAAGAAGAGAGGGAAAAAAGGAGGGAGGGAAAGAGGGAAAGGAGGAAAGAAGAAAGAGAGAAAGAGAAAGAAAGCTTAAATAATTAAAAGAAAACACATAGAAACCGTTCTAGGGGTGCTCCATGAATGTTCCCAACCAGCTAATTTGTAGGAACTGGGAATGTAGGCATGTAGGCTTGTGACACTCCCATTCCCATTGTTTTAGAATCTTGAGTAATTAGAAATTTCCCCCAAAGGTGGGAGGGATGAACTTTCAGGCTCCTCCATGCTCACTAGTCACTGGTTGGAGCACTAGATAGAGGGGAAGGGCTAGTGCGGGTCCTGCCTCCTCACTGCTTGGGAGACGCTCGTGCTGATGCAGCAGAGGCAGAAGGCTGGCTTTGTGGCCACTGAGTACAGAGTAGAATTGGAGTAAACTGAGGACTCTTTCACCCTCGCCAGAGCGGTGACTTTGGCCCTGGGAGAAGATGAGATTGCAGGGGCTTGGCCTGAGAGTGATGCCTTTTCTCTGGACTTGTCCTGTGGAACTTTTCCTTGCAGATTGGTGAAGATGAGCGTCCGGACTCCACCCAGACTCCTGGAGCTGGCGGGGCGGAGCCTGCTGAGGGACCAGGCCTTGACTATGTCCACCCTGGAGGAGCTGCCCACGGAACTTTTTCCCCCCATGTTCTTGGAGGCCTTCAGCGGGAGACGCTGTGAGGCCCTGAAGCTGATGGTGCAGGCCTGGCCCTTCCGCCGCCTCCCTCTGAGGCCTCTGATAAAGATGGGTTGTCTGGAAACCTTCCAAGCTGTGCTTGATGGACTTGATGCACTGCTTACCCAGGGGGTTCGTCTCAGGTGAGGTGGCCCAGTTGGGCTGGTGGGGAGGCCCCAGGTGACCAGAGAAGGACCAGATGGGTCATGAGAAGTGGGGAGGCCCAAGAAGGGATGGCGCTGGTGGGAAAGCTCAGAGAGGCCTTGGCCATTCCACAGCTCCTCAGGGAAAGGACTGCTCACCACCCAGCGTCCATGGAGGTAACAGGAACCTCTCCTCTAGTGGCACTGAAAGGCACCACGAAAAATGAGAACTG